ATTATTTTGTTAATACCATTGATTGCATTTTTCATATCAGATATTGCAGTTTTCATGTTTAGAAGTTTGATTTTAGACTTTTTAAAATAAATCTTCCATGTCTCTACTTAACTTCTGGACATATGGGCTACAGTTATAAGAACTGCTTTTATGTATTTGTCTGCTAATTCTAACATCTGTTTCAGTTCTGGGTTGGTTTCAATGGTTGGGCTTTTTCTTTATTGTGGGTAATGTTTTCTTGCTGCATTGCATGCCTGGTAATTTTTTATTGGATGCCAAACATTGTGAGTTTTACCTTGTTGGGTGCTGGATATTTTTGTACTCCTATGTATATCCTTGAGCTTTATTCTGGGATGTAGTTAAATTACTTGGAAACACTTTGACCCCTTTTATGTCTTGCTTTTAAGATTGTTAGATAGAACCAGAGTAGCATATAGGCTACAGCTAATTATTCCCCATGACTAAAGTAAACTAAATATGAGTCTTTTACCTAATTTTCTTTAAATAATGAGATATTTAAATCTGGCTAGTGGGAACAGGTACTCTTCCCTGCCTTGTGTGAACATCAGGACTATTCCCTCTAATCCTCTTGGATGGTTCTGTTCTGGCCTCAAGTAGTTTCCTCATTGCATGGGTTGCTCAGTGTAGTAGTTTCCCTTTACCCACAGGATATTTTCTAAGATTCCCAGTGGATGCCGAAAACCTCAGATAGCACTGAGCTGTATATGTATTATACATGTTTCTTTTTTCTTCTTCACAATTTCATTGATAGATTTCATTATTAGCATAAATCTTTAGCAGCCTCAGCATAAATCTTTTTTTCTTTCCTTATTAAGTCAAGAACTTTCATCTTTTTACTTAAAAGAAATACTTTGTGACTGCTCTTTGGCATATCTAAATTGCCAACATCTCCATACTTACACTTTGGAGCCATTGCTAAGTAACATAAAGGTTACTTAATTGCAAGCACTGTGATACTTCAACAGTCAATCTGTTAAATGAGACAGCTATTAAGTGACAGGCAGGTAGCAAGTACAGCCAGTATAGTGTAGATAATGCTGGACAAAGAGATGATTCCCATCCTAGGTGGGATAGAGCCGTGATACGGTTTGGCTGTGTCCCCACCCAAATCTCATCTTGAATCATAGCTCCCATAACCCACACATATCATGGGAGGGGCCCGGTGGGAGGTAATTGAATTATGGGGGTGAGTTTTTCTCACGCTAGTATATAAGTCTCATGAGATCTAATGATTTTGTAAAGGGCAGTTCCCCAGCACACACTCTCTTATCTGCTACCACGTAAGGTGCTCCTTTGCCCCTTCTTTGGCCTCCACCATGACTATTAGGCCTCTTCAACAATGTGGAACTGTGAGTCCATTAAACTTCTCTTTCCTTTATAAATTACCCAGTTTTAGGTATGTCTTTATTAGCAGCATGAGAACGAACTAATACAAGCAGGACGGCATGAGATTTCATCACATTCTCAGAATGGTGTGCAACTTAAAACTTATAGTTTATTTCTGGAATTTTCAACTTAATATTTTCAGACTCAGTTGGCTATGGGTAATTGAAACAACAGGGAGTGAAACTGCTAATAAGGGAATACTCCTGTACTCTTATATTCTTCAGATCTCTGGAGTTTGTCTCTCTGTAACCCTCTTCTCTCCACTGTTTTATTCCATTAACTATAGCGATCTTGGTATTCCTGGATTTTTATCCAACTTCTCAACTCAGACAGTCACTGAGATGTGCCTATGTCACTCCTCTCTATGCTGCCTGGAAGTCCTTTCAAGGCAGTAAGCTGAGGCAATTGTAGGGTGCACTTCATTTATTCCAGGTATTGCAACGATCACTGTTCTCCATTTCCTGATGTCTGTCTGGTATTTTAAAAAACACTCTTTTACATATGTTGTCTGGGATTTTGGGCTGTTTCAGGTGGGGGGAGGTAAATCCAATTCTTGTTACTTCTGTTTGCAAAAGCAGACATTCTTTTGCAAAGAGAAGTAACTGTCTTTTGTAGACTGTCTTTTGCCTACCCTTTCCATTCTTCACAACTCACTTTTCAGTTTCATAAGACCATCGATAAACATTCCAGTTCCCAGAATATTCAATAAAGGAGAAACTCCTGCTGAATTTCCTCCATAAGACTTGGCTAATAACCACACGGGGCTTAATCATAATCAGTTGTTTGAGAGGCACAAGAGATAGCTCTCTTATTTTTCTGTTAATGCGGTCAAGTAAAGTTAAGGGCAAGTATGTATTTCTGGGTAACTATAAAAAATTATGGCAAGTCCATGAGGCTATGCTATTATAAACATGGCTAAAAATGCACCAAAATGAATGCATTTGTGTGGCACCCCACAAGTCTTCCAATGCCAATGGAAAAGTTTAAGCATGATTAGAATCTTGGCTCAGTGACCTAGACCTTTTTATGTCAATACATTTCTCCCTAGGGGTAAGTAAGGTACTTTCAAAGGACATCCATTCTTTGAAGTCAGTTAGAAAATTACTGCTGCAAGGTACTAAACAGTACTTCAGTAGGCTTACAGAAATAATGTACAGCTGCAATGTGTTCATTATGCCAGGATGCAATTTACCCTTTCAGCACACACTGTTTCCCCCTGTGCATGCCCTGGTTCATGGGAGTTTGGGAATAACCAACTGTGATCCAGTTTCCACTGGGTTTCTCTCTGAATGTTCACACTGGGCTTGAATTGTACCCAGATACTCCCTCTCAAATATTAAAGAGAACTAGTCACCAATGGTTTCCAGGGATTGGTCTGGGGGTAGCGGCATTAAAAATTGTTAAATTGACTCCCCCTCATTATCAGACATAATAGGATCCAAAAAGAAATGTTCAATATTTATCTGGTTGTTTCTACATAGTTTTAAAAGCAATCAATATATCTACTGATCTACATATTCCCTTTTCAAATTTTTCTAAAGTAGAGAGCTTTAATGACCAAAAAGGAAAGGGTGGGTGGGACTCATCAAATTGTTTCCCACTTCCTGCCACCAAAAATTCATTTTAGTCCTGTTAAAGGTTTTGGACTAAAATAATGCAAGTCACTAAAGCTCAATGCTCTCAGTTCTGTTGGTACCAAAGCAGTGATGATGTTATATTAGTTAATCAATAAATGCAAAATGCAAAGTTGTTTATGATTAAGTTTGTGTGCAAACTTGCAAGTACACAGACACACCAGGACCTACTTGAGGCAGTAGAAGAACAGGCTATGGAGGGAAACAGAGATAGACATTAAAAAATGTCTCTTTAATTTATTGCAGTCTGCTTACTGCCTTATGAGATCAAGAATCCTGCTCATTAAACAATCAAACTTTACTTATTTGCACAATAGAACATAAAATCTATTTTATCACTTTCCCCCCAAAAAACCTGTTTAATTCTTTTCAATACTTGGGAATGATTCAGTTTAAAAGGGCACAGACAAAGGCGGCTTTATGAAGGTGATAAAATGTAATCCACAATGCCCACATGACATCATTAGAGCAGATGTTTGTACCATAATATATAAATGCAACAAGATTCAAAATCTCATATGAAAAATTTTGGACTTGATTTATTCTGGGCTTTTATGCTATAGAAATTTAACAGGAATCTGTGGACCAATAGTTGGATACAGGATGGAGAAATTGTCTGGGTTTTGGGTTTGAAGTTGACATCATTACTCCACTGTACATTTTCTGGCTTTGGTTGCCTTAATTTGGTATTGATGGCTGGCAAAGAGCCTCTGGTATTTAAACAAACCTTACCTATAATAGTCTGGCTCAGAGACTGTCATTTTGAATTCTACTTTATTCTGTGTTATTTACTTCTTAGTCACATTTATTCAAGAAGGATACACTCATTAGGTAAGTGATTTCAATTTGCATAAGCACACTGGTTAAAAAAATTGCAGGTATGTGTTCCCCAGATATTATGTAGTAACACACCTGGAGTTAATTATTTGCATTGTCTTTTTGGAAAAAGTTTGAGAACTGTTTTCACGCATGCAAGCACAGACAGCATGTCATAATGGCTTAGGGCTGAAAGTTAAGGCGGCTGCTTCCTTTATAATAGATGTGCAAAGACTTACTTTCCAATTTCTTCTTACTCTTCCGTCTGGCTACCCAGCATTTGTTCTTCAAAGGTATTCTAATCAAACTATTCAAAGAATTTAGCATCAAATATGATGTCTCCAGGGAGGTATGATTTAGAGAGTCTGGGATTCAATCAAAAATCACTCCATGGAAACTTTCATTTTTAGCTTAATATCATGTCTGTGTATGAGGAAATAACTAGTCACGAGCCTGTGTGATATCTGAAACAATGACGTTTATGTAAAAGGCCAGGGCAGGTTTCTAAATTTTATAGTTCGAAGTGTGAAAGGTAATATAATTTGAACTTTCAGGTTTTAGAAAGTGGAATGTTGTTTATGCTTGAGTTTTGCATTGTCATTGCTTTTAAGACTTGTTCTTGCTGGCAAAACTGTATTCTACAATCATATATGCTGCCTCCCAACAGTAGCGCTATACAGATTCCTGCTTTTGTTTTTGTTTTAAGCAAAAATAAGAACTCGTTCAAGGTTAAAAAAAACATGAAAACATAAAACATGGAACATTTCTTATTTATGCTGCATGATAGACCCATTCAAAGACTTACAAATACATTGGCAGTATATGATACTTCATTCTGGCTGTCTGACCAGCAAGTCCAAAATCAACTTTTTATGAAGTTTAAGATGAAAAATGACAAGTAGAAAGAGTATAGAAAACATTTGTGATGGAGAGAGTATGGTGAAGGAGAAGAGATACAACAATAATTTATAAATTATTAATAAAGGAATAATAGTACCCTTTAAATATAGTGAAGGGTTTTTTTTTTTTTTCAGGATATAAGAGTGTATCCACAACCACTATTTAAATTTTGGGTATGATTCTAACAAGCTTACATTAAATTGCACATTTTATGGAAAAATGTAATGAGAATAATTCTCTTACCATCTGTTTTCTTTGAATCATTTCCAGTGTTAGAGTGATCCTTCTTGTCTGTCTGATTTTTACCATCTTTCAAGTCACCTGAAAGTAATAAACATGACAAACAGTATATGTATACAGCTGAGGGGGGTGTTGTAAACATCTTCAAACCCGTCAAGGTTAAAAAAAAGTGCAGCATAATTTTATAGTCATGAAGGTCTATGTGTCTGAGTGTAAATATCTTTTGTAATCACATGTTAGGTCCTGGAAATTGGATTGTGATACAGAAATTGAGGCTGAAAGTTCTTGTTAAATAGAGTTGCAGTTAAGTCATGTGTTTATCTTCTAAGAGAAGCAGTTAAGATTTACTGTTAGGCTGTGGAGTGAGGAGAAACTGGAGCTAAATGTAAGTTCTACCAGTTAATAGCTATTTAACGTCTCTGTGCTTCAGTTTTCTTATCTGCAAAATGGATATATTAATACCTACCTTACAGGCATATTGGATAAATTAGAAGGCATATCACTCAATACAGTTGTTATTATTCTAAAACGGAGCTATAAATGGTATTTTAATAAATGAGCTTGTCAAAATGTAATTTGTAAAAGTTGTAAAACATTATCCTTAGAAAGAACATGTGTCAAGTATGTATTTAACCCACTTATGAGAGAACAGTAAGAAGTTTCCAAAGTACTGGAACTGGGTATTTACGGATATTTCCGAAACATGTTTGCTAGGTTAATGACAAAACTGGTTATATCCTACAGGGCAATAAAACCATAACCTTTGTGGTTATCTTCTCTCTCAGTCAAAAATCTATAAATTAGCATATAACTTCACAGGACCCAGGCGTGAATCAAATAGTAAATACAGCTAGACATAGTCATGTTCTTCAAGAGTAGAAGTTAGCAAATTAAGGCCCCTGGATCAATGGTGGCTGCCACCAATAAAATTTTCCTGAAACATGGCTACACTTATTCATTTACATATTGTCCATGGCCGCTCTCATGCTGCAACAGTTGAATTCAACAGTTGCAAAGAGACAGGCAAAGCCAGAAATATTTTCTACCTGGTTCTTTGTAGTAAAATAGTGCTGCACCCTATCTAAAATAATTTAATAATCCTAGGGCATGTGTGTTCAACAATATTCCAGTATGACATGGAAAGGTCAGGGACCTCTTCCCCCACCCTTATTTTCAAGTGTTGAATATTTTCTTACCAATCTTACCAATGGAAGCTTTTTTTTTTCTTAGCCTGCATAAAACCAAGAATATGTTCTCACTCAAATACTGGTACTTACTGAAGCCAAAAAATCCTAATAATAATTGGAGTCAGCTGGGCCTCTAAGTTATGTGTATGAGGGACAGGGTTTACTCTTTTTTACTTTATTCGTGCCAGGCTGTGTGCTAAATGCTTTTTGAGAACTGTTTTGATGCATGCAAGCAAAGACAACATGTCATAATGGCTTAGGGCTGAAAGCTAAGCTTGTTAGCTTTCAGCTTCCTTTACCTGATGCTTACTTTATAATAGATGTGCAAAGAGTTATGTTCCAATTTCTTCTTACTCTTCCACCCGGTTACTCAGCATTTGTTCTTCAAAGGTATTCTAACCAAACTATTCAAAGAATAGTTTAGCATCAAATATGATATCTCCAGGGAGGTTTGATTTAGAAAGTCTGGGATTCTACCAAAAACCACTCCATGGAAACTTTCATTTTTAGCTTAATATCATGTCTGTGTATGAGGAAATAACTAGTCACGAGCCTGTGTGATAGCTGAAACAATGACGTTTATGTAAAAGGCCAGGGCAGGTTTCTAAATTTTATAGTTCGAAGTGTGAAAGGTAATATAATTTGAACTTTCAGGTTTTAGAAAGAGTAGAATGTGCATCATTTTATTAAATGTTATAATAGCCTGATTATGAAGGTACTATAATTGAAAGAAGACAACTGCATCAAAGATTCATTCACTAAATGTCCAGTTTGTAAAATCTGATGAATAACCCACTCACCAAATGACTGAGGATGTTTTTCAAGTTTGAGGTTTTTTTGTCAACGTTCCTGCAGCCAGTTGGACAAACATGAGCCATTCCATCTATGTCAAGGGGCATGAACTACCCACTCTCATGTTTCATACCCCAACCCTGAGCTCACATCTGCCCCAACTTTGCACCTGGATTTCTCTCTTGCAGCAAAACTGCTAAGCTCTCAACTATAGTATTTGCAACCTCTCTATGAAGCTCAAGTCTTAGATTTCAGACTTCTGTTTACTGTTTCCATTTCTAAATGCCTTTGGCCTATGAATTTATAAAAAAATGATTATCTAAGGATGATTAAGGACCATTTTGGGCTGTGACATATTCTACAAAGTACATATTTTTAATGGAATTTGACAAATGCTACACTAAGCTGTAAGTCAATAAACTCTCCAGGTTCCCTCTCATTCTGAAATGGGGTGGACTGTGATATGGTTTGGCCATGTCTCCACCAAAATCTCATCTTTAATTGTACCTTCCATAATTTCCATGTGTTGTGGGAGAGACCCAGTGGGAGATAACTGAATCCTGGGAGCAGTTTTCCCCACAATGTTCTTGTGGTAGTAAATAAGTCTCATGAGAGCTGATGGTTTTATAAGGGGAAACTTCTTTTGCTTGGTTCTCATTCTCTCTTGCCACCATCATATAAGAAGTGCCTTTCACCTTCCACCATGATTGTGAAGACTCCGCAGCCAAGTGAAACTGTGAGTCCATTTAACCTCTTTTTCTTTATAAATGACCCAGTCTTGGGTATGTCTTTATCAGCAGTGTGAAAATGGACTAATACAGACTGGCAGCAGGGTGCCATGGCTCACACCTGTAATCCCAGCACTTTGGGAGGCTGAGGTGGGTGGATCACCTGAGGTCAGGAGTTCGAGACCAACCTGGCCAAAGTGGCAAAACCCTGTCTCTACTAAAAATACAAAAATTAGCCAGGCATGGTGGCAGGTGCTTGTAATCCCAGCTATTCAAGAGGTTGAGTCAGGAAAATCTCTTGAACCCAAGACGTGGAGGTTGCAGTGAGCCGAGATTGCACCACTGCACTCCAGCATGTGTGAGAAGAGTGAGACTCCATCTTAAAAACAAACAAACAAACAAACAAACAACTCCCAAAAAACAAACAACAACAACAACAAAAACCAGACTGGCTGGAAGAATTGAGAGGCAGGGGTGTCTACTCTGGCCAGGGTCCAAACAGGAGGATTTTAAGTGGAAGATATGGTCATCACCTCCTCCACCACCAAAAGAAAAGAAATCCTTCATAAGTCCCACGAAACACTCCAAATACTGGCTTTTCTCTATCTTAAGGATGCCAGAGATGGACTCAAGGATCTTGAGCCCTGTAGTCAAACTAGTTCCTTCTTCCCTCAGTGAACCTCCACACTCCTAATGCATGCTTTTTAAGCCTACTGGGTTGCTCTGAACAACAGCTGCAGCAACACCAGGATGTCTTCTAGAAGTTGCAGAGATTGTTTCCTTGGCTGGTTGCTAGCCAGCAGCAGCCCATGGTGGCCCCTCTTCTCAGCCAGGGCTGGGGAGGTTGTGGGAGGAAGTAACCTCGACACAGAGCAAAGATTAGAGGATTATGTCACTGCCAATGGGTGCCCAAACTTCGAGCAGCTCTCCCTCACCAACATCCTTCAGCTCTAACGTGGAAGGTATCCTGGGCACCCCACAGAGAAGGGTGCCAGGACAGTGACACGTGCTTGTTTGATGATGTTCCCTGACTCAAGCCCATTAGGTAATTTCCCATGGGTTATATCTAGAGTAATGGCTGATGTGAGCTGTTACTCAATAAGCAGGGGGAAGCAAAAGAGACTTTCTGTGCAGCTGTAAATCATTCTAATTAGGCTGCTGTAATACAGTCCCGAACCACCATTAGCCTTTCTTATTATTGCTCTAAATTGATTTCTTTTCCCACCTCTCATCTACTGCTTACTTTTTAAGGGAAATGGTAGGCTGCTGCTTATTTCAGGAAATAAGCACAGTTGTGAAATCCAGCCAGCCTCGTTGAAGACTCTGGCTCCTGTTTTGTTTCTTTCAGGCTTTCCCCTAGCCAACTTCAAAATGAATTATTATTTCCACATCTGCCCTCTCTGGGTCTTTGTTTCCTCTGGTAGAATTCATATCCTTCTTGGTGACAATCTCAAGTACAATGTCCTTGGCTTGTTTGTGTTCACTGGTTGCTCCCACTGACTAGACCTGGGGTTGGCAAACTATGGTCCATGGGTCAAACCTGGATCTACTGCCTGGTTTTTTATGAGCTACAAACTAAGAATGGCTTTTACATTTTTAAATGGTTAAAAGAAGACAAATATTTTATGACATATGATATTACATACAATTCAAATTTTAATTTCCATAAAGTTTTATTGGAAAACAGGCTCACTCATTTGTTTGTATATTATCTGTGGCTGCTTTAAAATGGTAATGTTGAGTAGTTACAATAGAGATCTTATGTCCTGCAAAGCCTAAAATATTTACTATCTTGTCCCTTTTAGAAAAAGCACACCAACCCCTAGAATAAGTATATCGTAAACCTCTTATAAACAGCAGTTAAGTTTGCATATTTCTCTGATTGCCCCTCTCCCTGAAGGCACCAAACCACAGGGAAATGATAGTTACAGAACAGAGCACTGGGACTCACACAGACCAGAGTTTAACCTGAGATCTCTACCTAATGGTTGCTTGACTTTACACAAGTGATTTCATCTCTCTGAGTCTCAATTTTCCCACCCACAACATGGGAATGGGTGTTTCTACCTCACAGAGCTGTTAGAGTTTTTACATGATGTAATGTAGGTAGAATCTCAAGTACAATGTGTGACACATGTTAAGCATTGAATAAAATGGTAGTGTTATTGTTATTGCTGCTTTTACAAAGGGAAACACTTCTAGCCCACTCTGTTAAAAGAAAAAGCAAAGGAAAGAAACACACGTTGCCTCTCTCACCACTCCTTACATGTTCCTCTTTTGAGAGGAGTCATTATTTATTTAGGAGGTAGGGTTGGCCATGCACAGCCTGGCCCAGCCATCCACATCCCAGCCTGTTTTGAGATATGTTTTCTATAAGACACACACATTTTCTGTCACTTTAGAAGCAGCCTGCCAGGGTGTTGGGGTGAGATATGAGTCCTGTACTTGGCTCTACAGTGTCTGGCTGGGTAAACCCATTTCAGAACAAACGTGTAAAGAAGCCCATGTGCTCCGCAGACCAACTCTGTGTTTCCCAAGTCAGCTCCAGTTGCAATGGAGCTGATGTCTTGATCATTGACTTCCTGATTTTGTTCCCTATCTCTCAGTTGGTTCAGACCTCAGAAGGGGTAGCAAGGAGGGGCCTGAACTATCTGTTAAAACACTAACAGGTACATCATAAATTCTTTAAAAATTTTTGCATGAATATATGTTTTTATTTTTTTAAGTTTTTATTTCCATAGATTTTTGGGGAACAGGTGTTGTTTAGTCACATAAGTAAGTTCTTTAGTGGTGATTTGTGAGATTTTGGCATACCCATCACCTGAGCAGTATACACTGAATCCAATTTGTAGTCTTTTATTCCTCATCCTTCTTCCACCTTTCCCCACAAGTCCCCAAAGTCTATTGTATCATTCTTATGCCTTCCCATCCTCATAGCTTAGTTCCCACTTATGTGTGAGAACATATGATGTTTGGTTTTCCATTCCTGAGTTACTTCACTTAGAATAATGGTCTCCAATTCTATCCAGATTGTTGCAAATGCCATTATTTCATTCCTTTTTATGGCTGAATAGTATTCCATCATATGTTTTTAGGGAATCAGCAGGAACTGGATAAGCAGAAAAGCCTCGCCCTGTGAGCTGTTCCCATCACTGGGGTTGTTTGCCAGTTTCCATTCATCATGCCATTAACTCCTCAAAAACAGCCCTTCACCAAGCGCAATTCTACTCACCATTCTGTTGCTGTTCTCCTGACGATGTCTCAGCTTTGGAATTTTTCCCATGAGGGTTGTCACTTTTGTTTGCCCGTGTTCCATTGACTTGATTCTTAGCTTCTCCAGACATCTTTTTCTCAGCTTTGCCAGATGCGGCCTCTTCAGCCTGGCTTTTGGCTTCCATTTCCTTTTGCTGCTCCTCTGCAGCCAGGCGAGCCTTTTCTTCTGCTTCCTTCTTGGCCTTCTCCTCTGTATCCATGGCAAGTTGGGAAAGGCACCGAGAAGAGAAAAAGAGGGCATGCTGTTAGGAGAATGACCTGTTTTAATGCACAAAGAGGATCTAAGGTGTTTACTGAGTGTTTGGGTACATTTCTGCTTAATTCATCAGATTGTCATGTATTTAGGAAACCGATAAAATAGGTTCATGATGACGTCATTCTGAAAACAGTGAGTTAGAGGATGGAGCAGGGAGAAAATAATAATAAGGATAATAATTAATAAACCAATATTGTAATGGCATTATGAATATCATCATTATTAATAGCTTCTATTGAATGTGTTCTCTATGCCAAGTGTTATGCTATGTATTTTGGGGGGGGTACTTATTTTCATCCTCAAAACAACCTTACAGCAGCTGCTATTACTGTGACTCAATTTGACAAATGTGAAAATAAAGTCTCAGAAATATCACAAAACTTTCCCACCACCTCAGTAAAAACTGCAGCTTCATATGGGTTTGCTTAAGACCTAGAGTTTAAACACAAACAATTGATTACAAAACAAAAAGGGAAAATATCCAACACTAGAGCAATTGAAGACAAATACACTGAGGACACTGTTTATGAGTTTAAAAGAAGGAAGAGGATAATTAAGCCTTATATAAAAAAAAACCCACGGTATTTAGTTTGGCCAGGCACCTGGTCTGTGTCCTCCCTTTTAATGAAACAATACTAGCATTATTTCCAATCTCGCAGATTACAAAAGGGCTTGGCTCTGTGCTTAGTCAAAAACACAGCAGAATTGCATAGGTTAAGTATTTATGAAAAGACTGGTTCACTCATCCAACTCATATTTGTTGAGCAGCTAGAGTGTCAAGCACTGTTTTAGATACAACGAATACAGCAGTAAGCCAGTCGATTTATGGAGAAGAGATCATAGTTAAGTAAACAAATGATTAAGATACGTGCAGATTGTAGAAAGTGCTTTGCAGAAAACTAAAACAGAGTCATATGATGGAACACAATCAGCATAGGGGAGGGGATTGCATTAGACAAGGAGGTGGAGAAGGCCTCCTTGACAAAGTGACATTTAACCAAGTCCTAAATTATGACAAGCTGACCATGCATTAATCTGGAAAAATAGTACTTCAGCCAGAGGAACTAGAAAATGCAAAGGCCATGAGGTAAAAATGAACTTGGTATGCTCAAAGAACACTGAGTATAGTTAAAGTAAATTTGACAAGGGCTTAGTGACAGATGATGTTCATGACAAGCAGGGTTCAGATTATGCAGGGCCTTGGAGGCAATGAGGTGGACATTGCATTGTAGAGAATAACCTACACAGAAGCCACTTAACAGAGCCCAATCCTCCAAAGGTTCTAGAGTCTTATTCCATGTAGCACTTAGTTCACTCCAAAGACCTTCCAGCCTGTACCATCAACTTCCATTGGGAAAAGCCTTATTACATTTTTCTCTAGATGTGTTTTAAAATTCCCCATACTTCATTACCAGATGTCTTATTTATTTCTTTTGTGTTAGCCTTGGTCCTGGAAAAAAAGCTAACTCTCATAAGTAATCTATTTGTTTTTAATCTAATGGATATCAGAGTGACTATGCATTTATCATGTTTCCATTTGTTTTAGCTGCTAAAGAGCTCAAAGCCCAAATTTGGTCCAGGCTCACATGTTCACGAGGCTTTATGACATACATTTTCTGGAAGTCTATGATGCCTGGTGTAGTCTACTTTTCCTGCCTTTGTATTTCCTTACCTGTCTTCCTTAATATATTATGTTTTCATTCATTAATCCATCCATCCATCAATCCATCCATCCAAGCCAATGCCCTACCTTCATCTCCAAACAAGTTAAATAAGATTCTGGAGATAGACGGGCAAGAATAGGATATTTTAAGTGTTTTCCAGGTGATTTAAACATACAGAGTTGAGAAGCACTGATTTAAATTTTAAATGTTTGCCATTCAGTATTTCATGACCTTCTACTGTCCAAAAGGATGTATTTATAATTAACATTGAAAAGGTAAGGAAAGATCTCTTTACAAATAACATAATTATGTGCATGTAATGTATAAAATGTCTTCCAGCCTTTATAGAAAGGTACAACTACAGAGTGAAAGAATGCTCTTGCAGAAGAATATGGTCAGATGGCATTCTCAGTATGATGCGGGACTACAGAAAGTCCCCTGGAATGTTCACTCAGGCTTTATCTCATCCTTCTTCAGTGACTGAGGCTGGGGTTTAAATGTCATCTCTGTTACTGAATTCCCAGTGCTTGGCATGGTGCCTGGTGCATAGCATATACTCATGAAGTATTTGTTCATGAAATGAAATGTTTCCTATGGGTGTGATTTATCCTATATGCCAGTATAAATTTATTTGTATGTATCTTCATCAGTCTTCAGCAATCTAGACAGGCATAAAATACAGAAAGTATATAAACGCTAAGTCTTATTATGAAAGAATAGTCATTTGCCAAATGTTAGTTTCCTTAGCCAATAATGTAGGTGAGTAAAAAGATGACTATTTTTACTACAGAGTGGGAAACTGAGGCAAGGAAAAGGAGAATTCATTTATATTCAGAATCTGGTATCAGTTTTAGAAAATAATTTACAACCCCCTGACAGAATCCCCACTGAATCCATGGCAAATTTTCAATAGTCAAAATAACCCCAAGTTGGAAGTATTTTTGATAAAAACTGAAGGTGTTAAATTCTGGTTTGCTATAAAAGAGCATAAAATATTATCTGAGCAAGAAAAATACATTTGACAACTGAGTCAGACCAATTTTTCATGGGAAATCTAGCAAAAAACATATAAAAAACTGGTAGTGGGAGCACATTTCAGAAACAAATCTGTTTTTTTTCTTAACTGTAGCTATCAGGCAATTAATGCTTATATGAAAGAACAGTAGCCCTTCGGACATCATGATCAAATCAGTTATGAGCCTACCCTATTGTGTGATTTCTCTACAGCAATCACGTTACAGCAAGTGGTCCTGCAACTTTTCTACTCAACTTCTATCTCTTCCTCATATCTCTGAGATAGCTGACATTAGTGTGATCAACTGCATGACACTCAAAGTGATACAACTCAAAATTTGTAGAATGAAACAAGGAAGCACATAAATAAGAAAAAATAAAATACATTGGCAAGAGGTAGGTCTTTTTAACTGAAGTCAGATTCTCTTTCATTCTCTGAGTGAAATTATTAGTATGGATGAAATTTTCCCACGATGAGAAAAAGGAGTTGAGAACAGTTATTTTGTACACACTCACAGGTTCCAATGACAGCATGTATACAGATAATTCACTTTTCAGGTCTTAGATTTGACATCTACCATGCTTCTAGACCAGTACAAAGCAAGAGATGTGTGGTTCAGTTCTGTTTCTTTTGGGTTCCCGTGTCAGACTCTCTGTGGTGTTGGGACTTGCGATAAAAACAGCCAATAGCAAGCAGCTAAGAGTTAAGACAGAACACAGCCCTCAAGATCCATAAATTTCCTTCTTCCCAGTGGAGAGCTGGTTCTATCCCACACTGCATGTCCATACAGTTTTGGGGAAATACAATGATGTCTTTATTTAATTTGCCTTCCTGAATAATGATACTATGGGGTCTCAATTAAAAATTGTATTGGACTAATTATCTCGATATAATTTTCTGAAATGCCTACTTATACTACCTACAACCAGAGACAGAAGGAGAGAGAGAAAAGATAGAAAAGAGAGAGAAACTGACCAGAAAACCCAAAATATTATTGAATTTTGACTAGTCAAATCTCAGTTCTATACAAGAACAAAAGAAAGGTGCTTTTAGACATTTAAGAACTTAGAAGGTGTTCCCACTTCCTGAAAATTTTAGTCAAAGAAAAACTTCGATCAACATTAAAAACTCAAAAGTGAGAAAAATATGTAAATGAATAATTCTTTACATATTGTAAATCACAATATTCAGTATCAGAATAAAATACTCAAAATAGAAAGAGAAAGGTCAAATACAAGACAATATTATATTATGATCCCAATTTATCTTACACATATGTACAGAAAAGCAAAATACAAAGAATTACATTAGAATTTTACTAATAGTGACATATATCTGGAGGGGTAATAATTTTCATTTTCTTTTATATATATTTTTTATATTTCAGCATGTGTAACTTAAACACATTAGTCTAATACCAGAAAAATAAATGTTAAAAAAGTACTAAATACTGAATGGAAATTAATCAATATCGATCAGATTTAAAAATTATGTTCATATATCTTTAATTGGGAATAGTGATTTTTAACTCTAAGGGCTATAAAAATATTTATTTAATCTTTGCTAATAATTATCAGTTCTCACCTACCTAGTTTTGTAATCAGGTTGGTTAACAAAACCAAGATGAATTTCCAGTGCATTTATTAACATACATATTAAGGTGCCCCATTGAGGACAGCCTTTGGAAATCAGGGTCATCTGGGAAAAAAAAGAGCAACAAACAAAGCAGCCACCTCCAACAAAAAAACAGATGTGCGTTAGATCTTTTATTAGCACCAGTCAGCCAGTAACAGCATTACTGAGCTGCTGAGAATGTTATAAAATATTAGTTATAGGTTGGTATCTTATTAACTTTGTATTCAAACCTCTAACCTTTTCCAATTTGTATAAATAGCAGCTACTACTTAGGCACCAACCTTGTGGAGGCTCCTTTCTTACTGCTTTATAGGTATTATTTCTATTCTTCACCTCAGTTCTGTGATGTACATTACTATCCCCAAAGTGAATCTCAAAGAACCTTATCTGAATTTGCCAAAAAAAAAAACCCTTGCAAGTCAATGCTCAATTTTCTCTCTCCTTCCCTGCTAACTGAAATGTGCCCTGATAACCAAACTATTCTCCCACAAAACATCCATAACCCTAGGCTCTGTGCCTTTGCCCAACCCCTTTCTCCTTGTTCTTATTTCTAAATACAACACCTCCTTCAGGTCTCAATCCCAGGAGTCCTGCTACCTGATGCCTTCCCAAACACCCAAGCAGGGCTACAAACAACTACTTTGTGCTTCTGAAATATCTCTATCCCCATACCTAAGACATTTAAAAATTATTAGCTGTTTATTTTCCTGTTCTTTTTAAAGGGCCAGTTTTCCCCTGAAACTGTCAAATGCTTCCCCAGGTGATTAGTTTCAGAAGGTAATTTTAGTAAACCAGATAATTGCAAACAAATTATTTTGAAGTACCTCTTTAAATTGCGTGTTGTCAGAAATTGAATTTTCAAGTGTAATGAGTGTAATTGATTATAAGAGAGTGTTTCTTTGGAGATGATGCAGTAGCTGCCATTGCTGCTTGCAACGCCTGCCGACAGGGAGGATTCAAATGTTTAAAGCATTTGAATGAACTAGGAGAGGGTGTGTTTAAAATATGGAAGAGGTGTTGGCTCCCTCCACAGCTCAGGGTGCAACATCTGTCCTGAAATGATAAGGGTTCAATTATGCCCTAAAAGTGTCATAAATATAAACCCCTTGGCTCACCTGAAGTGAGCAGCCACTTGAACAGAATTTTATAGACAAATCACAAAATTGGACAGAATTTTGTGGACAAGCCTTTGAATAACTACAACAGGGAAGCTGTTTCTTTCCTACACTAGAAGCAGAACCCCCAGCCCCCACCCCAATGTATGGAAACCAAGATTGCCAGAACATGTTCTCACCCACTGTCCCCACCCTTCTCACCTGAAGTACTGACACCAGGAGGGCAAAAATGTGAGATGTTGTGTTTGGGGAGGGGATGTTGTGTTTGGGAAGGGGATGTTGTGTTTGGGAAGGGGATGTTGTATTTGGGGAGGGGATGTTGTGTTTGGGGAGGGGATGTTGTGTTTGGGGAGGGGATGTTGTGTTTGGGAAGGGGATGTTGTATTTTTGTCTGATGTGAGGGCTTAAGGCTTAGGCTGGTGGTGCTGGTGACAAACTCAAGGCTTTGACTGAATTTCCATTCTTCATTTGAATGAAACTGCAGTAATGTCTCTTCCCTTCCCCTGCCACAAGACTGTGAGCTTTGAGGCTGGGATGTCTGTTACTCATCTCTGTACCCTGGGCACTGGGCATAGCCTGGCACATAGTAGGCACACAATAGATGTTAGCAAAAACTGACTCTTGTTGAAGGCTCACCTCCATGAAGCTCACTGGGAACAGTCCCCTCACTGAGCTCCCAGAGCCACCAATGTCTCTGTCCCTATCTGGAATCAGGCATCACAGTGTCAGACCTCTTCTCTCATATTTGTACTACCTGTACACATAGGGCCTCCATCCCTAGTATGATCGTGTAGTATGTACTGATCATGGAGTACATGCTCAGTATCACAAATGCACATATGAACAAAGGAAGCTAAGTCTCCAAAATCATACAAATTTCCATCTTTTTCTGTTGATATTACCAAGGGCCTCAACTTTTAGTTTGGATGATGTCTGCTTCAGGGAGTTTCTGCTTATCGACAATTTACCATCATCTCAGAAGATTAGGTATATGGTTTGAGCAATGAGTGAAGGGAAATTGAGAATATGAAAGGAATATAAAATGCATATAAGAAAATTAAAGTGCCTTATATTCCAACATAATGGCCAAAGCAAGGTGGCTATTAGCAGGTCTTTACTTAGGTAAAAGAAGAAATTAAAGCCTCACAGTTGTGCCACATGACATCAAATGAAAATGACAAGATGGTTTAGCAGAAACCAAGAAATAAACCCCCACCTCCTGTAGAGTCTTCATACCAGAAAAAGGAGTTTAGTCCCACAGCATAAAGAGCATGATGCCTGGAGACCTACAGGTCTGCTGCATTTTATCATGCATTGATTGTTAGACATTATGAATATCAAAAGATGGTAGATTCTAATAATCAGCAATTAGAATCTGCATCATGAGCAACTGCGTTTTATTTGCAACACACATAACTCAGGGAAGACAATCTTGTTTTTATGAGTGGGTACTGAATTGGTTTGGACGGTCTGTGGTATGTTACCTTTGGGCACCTTGGCTCTCCATCTCTCCCGATTAATGTGCACCACTTCGGTCCAAGTTGCTTTAAAGCTCTTATAGTCAACAGGGATGACGGAATTGTTGATCGGGGCACTTCCCTCTGAACCAGAGCTCTTGACACCTGATCGCTTGGCATCTGACGAGCTGATGCTATTCAAACTGGAGAACAAAAAAATGATACCAAAGAAGAGAGTTAGTGTTTGCAAAATGTCTTCCAATGAGCAAGCCCTGGGGAGAAGTGGTTAGCACTCATCAAGTTATTGCTGTGAAATTTCTGGGTCTCGATGATTATAATTATTCTATTTTCCACATATGACAGGTGGGAAATTCTGAATTTTCATCAGGAAAAATATCAGCATTGCAGTCTCAAGAGTCTCTTTAATCTTCATATTTCTTCTTTGCTAATTGGCCTCTTCCCTTTTCCCAATAACCAGAATCCCCTCATGTGAATTTTCTCTGCTCTAGTCTCTGAAACTGATCAATTTGAACTGGGACATCTACTTAATTCCACAGTTCACCCACCTGCTTCCACACTGACCACTTTTCCAAGTTACCTAGCAACTTGCTCCTCTTTCTTTCCAGCTCTGCCTGTCCCCTGCAAGGGTTTTTCTGATCCCAGGATCCCCAAGTCCAGAAGAAGTGATAATTTCCTTAAGTTTCTGGGAGAAGACGGAAATGCAGACAGCATGGAGATTGTGGGAGACTAAGTCATGCAAAAGACCTTATGGGCAAGTTTGTAAATATTAAAAAGTACTGTCTCTCTGGAAAACTTCAAAGAAATAACTACTGCTACGAAGCAGCTAAAGCAGTGACTGGTAGGAATACAAATTCATGATGGACTACACAAGCAGAATATGTTTCAGCCAGTGCCTGAAGAGCTGTGAGGCCATGGGGACTCTGGCAGGGGGCTCCGTCCTCCTTGTTAGCAACCTTAAGAGGGTCCATCCATCTGAAGCATCCCCGGGGTCCTCCTGTCCTAACATTTGTCTTTCTTTACTCCTTTTCCTGCTCTTTGCTTCTCCTTTTTCTATTCATTCCATTTCTCTTCTTCCTTTTTTTATGACAAAGCCCAATGTTTTACGTGAACAAGGAGATTAGTAGTAGCAGTAATAGTAGTAGTATATCTAATAAAGACTAAGAGTTAGCTTTATTGTAGCTAGCACTTCCTCTGTTCTAGACACTGTTGTAAGGTTTAACATAGATTGAATAACTTATTTAATCTTCGCAGCCACCTCTGAGTATTATAATACACATTTTCTCAGATGAGGGAAGTGAGACAATTTGCCTGAGATTTCACAGCTAGCAAATGATGAGGTCCAGAGTTTTTACTCTGGTATTCTGACTCCAGAGCCTGTACTCTTTAACTACTGATCTACCCTTGATATAATGATGTGGTGGTTGAAGGTGATTTCAAGTTTTTGATTCTTTATCTCTACTTTGTTCTTTGTGCAAACCTTGAAATGAAAGTCAGTTTCCTTTCTTTGTAAGTACTCTTGATGAGTGGTACTGTCTTTGTGGAGTATTACATGAACAAAAACTGTCTGGGCACAGCAGGTAAACATGCAGCAAATGGGGTGGTGGAGGGGCAGCACCAGGTGCCTGCTGTTATGATTTAGACGTTGGTCACTCCTTATAGTTTAGCCTGGATAGTATGAGTAATACAATTTCAACTCCTCTGATAAACGGAAAGAGGTAGACAAACTTTTACGAGAAGGAGCTAAGGCAAATGTCTGTGAAATACCGTCCCCATCCCCTGCAAAAGAAGAATTTTATCATCGACAGGCCAACCTCACCCCCAAGCCCTCAAGCTTCCCCACTGACCTCGAACGCCTCTGTCCTGTCCCGCCAGTTTGAGAAGTTTCATCGATTAGTGGACTCACAATCTTCTCGGTCATGTCCGTAAGCACAGTGAAGGTGGGTTCCACGATGAAGTCAATGAAACCTAAAGATAAACAGCAATGCTTCAGAGGAACCACATATTACCCTGGGCCTTTCCATACTTTCCAGAAGAAACTGATCTGGAAACTCCAGATCAGCTTATAAGAGAATGGGTTGATCTTAATCGCTTTATATATTTCTTGATTTGAATATTACATGTCAGTTTCATTTCTCCTACATAGCTTCCTATGACTCTTCAGGACAGTTCCATAAAGTGCCTAAGAAATACATACTGAACACCCACTACAGAACAAGCACTGTGATAGTAGCTGTGGCAAAGACTAAGAATGAATAATACAACCTGCCTGAAGTTAAGACATTTGAGCTGAGCCCTTAAGAATGGGTGGAGAGGACCCAATGTCTAAGATAGCCTGTTTCCTTTGCTTGCATCCCACAAACTATTTCCCTCATCCTATTTACTGCAGCAAATATCTCCTTAGTTGATGGGACTGTGTTTATCTCCCTTTAAAACTCTACCTATCCTGAATGGTCTGTCATTGTCTGCCTTTAAAATCCTTCCTCTTTTTCTTCCTCTATTCTGTAAGTAATGATGGGGCTAAGTTACACCCAAAAGTGAGTTATGCTCACTTTAAAAAATATTTCCTCAGTACTTTGGAGAAAATACCAAACAAAAATGCCATTTTAAAAGAGGTGTATTTTTTTCTTTTAGAATATAATCTCTTCAAGAGCAGGGACAATGTTTTCTGTATGTTCTATTGTGTCTAGTACACTGTAAATGCTCAATAAATACTGATGATGGGAAGCACTGAGTCTTGATGATAAGGCTGAGAAACTGAAATCCCAAATACTGTTTTGTGGCTTGTTTTATTATGACCTAATATTAATTTGAGAAATATTGGCCTTTATGGAAAATTGTCTCAAATATTGCATTCAAATAAAAGTGCAATGAAAGAAAAAAAAACAGAATGGGTAGAGAGGAAGATGTGGCTATTCGCTCTGGGCAGTCGGAGTGGAAAAACCCGAGTGAGAGAGATGAAAGGATGTAAGATGTATCTGAGGACTGACTCGGGAGTAGGAATCTTTTGGACTTAGGGAAGGAAAGCTTGAGAAGGCACGTTATCGACAGCTCTAGGAAGAAAGCCTCCTAAGTGTTCAGATAAAGGGTTAGGACTTAGGCAGACATTGGAGGCTCCTGGAGATGTTTGGGCAGCATTGCCATAAGAGTTTTTAAATGTTCTTTAGAAAGTTAATCTGGCAAGATAGATAAGAAGGAAGAGAGCAGGAAGGCAGAAGGATGAGAAAATCATTTAGAAGCTATTGCAATTGCTCAAACAAAAGATAAAGAAGGCCACTCTAAGGTGGAAATGCAAAGCAGGCACAGATACCTGCACAGCAGGAGGTGGTACTGCCTCTGTATGGGATCTGCCAAAGACACCTCAAATATGTGACCGGGGAAAGACGGTGGGCTCAGTTTCAGATTTGCTGATTTTGAGGTACAGGGGGCATATCTGGATGGGAGAGGGCAAACAGAGTTGGAAGAAACAGGATTGGAAACTAGAAGAGGGCTCAGACCTACAACTATACCTTTGTGAGATCACCATGATAGAGAAATGGCTGAAGTTGGGCTATAGCGATTGTCCCAACAGCTCAGACACTCAAATGTCTGTAACAATCAGGAGAAAAAATAGGAGCTGAAGCTAGTGGGGATGGTGGTAATTCATTACACAGCCACATGAAAACTGAAAGCAAACTAAATACCAACCAGAGGAAATGTTGCCAATTTCCCTTTGAAGGGTGTGTTTGGAAATGTATGAATGCATATTTAGTTTTTACAATGGCCCAAGTAAGGGTGATGCTGGCATTAATGCTCAGCAGTAAAGGATGTTAAAAGTCCTACAATGTAATTGATAAAACAAGAACTATCCCAACCAAATACCAATAGTATGCTTACTAATAAGGAAGCAGTGATAATCAAATGTGTATTATGGTTAATTACAGTGTAATTTTAAGCTGAAACTGAAGTGTTTGATGACACCACTTTTGCCTTTTTTTCTTGACAAATTAAGCTCAACATGGTCAAACCTGAACTTCATCAGCTTCTCCACAACCTTTGTAAATGGGACAATGGTCCAACCACTTAATCTAGAGTTCTACCTTTATCTTAGCTTTGCGTTCAGCCAAATCTTTGACACTTTATGTACCACCTCTCTTCTGAAGAGACCAAGTGTGTCACTGTCCAATTCTCCATGAACAAGCCACATTCCAGGGAGAAGAATGGAGAGAGTGGATCCATCAACCCAATCAAGCAGAGCCATGAGCACAACATGGCAGAATGGAGCCAGTTCCCCAGCCAAAGAACCACTAGGAACATCTGTGCTTAGTTCTACAGGCTTCCTGCTTTGGTGCTTCCTTCTATCCAAAGAGCTTGCAAACACGTACCTACTTGTGACTGGGCAACCATAGTGGACTTTCGGTCACACAGAGGAGAAAAAGGCAGCCCCAGCTCTGCTTCTCTGTCTCCCTAGAAAAATAAAAGGTCATAGTAAATTAAGAAACAGTAGGCTGAGTCATCCAGATTTCCTTTAGCAACTTCCACTGTCACGGAGGCCACTGGTCTTTATTTTAATTATTACAATTATATTATATTACCTTATTAATAAAATATTTAATTATTAAATTAAAATATATGCATTATAGTGTTACAATATAATAAGTCTTTATGGAGACTGCCTCTCTACATAAAAGACAACAAAAGGCTGAAGCCCTCTGGGATCCAATAGTTCCACCCAACTGCAAAGCTCATGCTCTTGTAAAGAAAGCCTCATTGGGCAGTACTACGGCCTCCATGGAAAATAAGGCAACAGGCAATATGTCATGTGGCCTGGAGTCAGCCCTGCAGGCAGAATTTCTGTGTTTTTTCAAGTCATCCTGGGTCAACCTGTGGCCTTTGTTTAGCTAGTGAACTCCTCTTAGCTGTGGACAGTGTCTGAAACTAAAATTCAAACTGGACTGATTCAGATGGATTCTCCTAGTGCCGCCTAAAGCCACACATTTGGAGCAAGTGCTTCTGGCTTCTAAGCCTCAGAGGTCAGTCCATAATGAAAAGTGGACCAAAAAGGGCCAGAATAAATGATTGCTTGTGTCTATAAAGTTAGACAACAATAAAACACAATTGTCTGACCAATGTATTATCAATCTCACCAAAAGGTATCACCATAATAAGCAAGTGTTATGGAAAGGCTAAATAATGACAGAGATGTTTTTTAAAAACTTGAACCAGAGGCTTAATACTTGTCATACACCCAGAGGAAAGGGAAAAATATGTCACCCTTCTTATACTAGTGAAGCTGTGCTAATTCATTTTACTGGCTCCGGATAATAGCTACTGACTTGTGCTTGAATCCTGTCTTTCTCCTACTAGATGTGTGACAGATCGTAGGTGGGTTATTTTCCTTCCATACATTTCAGTTTTTATCACTTGTTAAATGTGGGATAGTAATCTCTACCTTATAGGGTTATAAGGATGAAAGAGAAAAATGTATGTAAATGAATATAAAGAACTACTGTTGTTTCCCAATAGGTGGTTCTAATATTTTAGGTCAAGATTTGAGAAATGTTAAGTGAATTTGTTCACCTAATACCCTCTGATTGTAATAAGTACTGTCAATAAATTAATATAATAGCAAATAAAGGGTAGTAACAACCTTCAAGCAGGCCTGGTTCAAAACTGAATGATTCTTCCTTCTAAGGCATGCTACTGAAGAGAACGGATGCTAGCTCACATGTAGCGTCAACTGAAAAGACGGAAAAGGAGCGTGTGTCTGAGGAAGCTGAACAGCGGGGTCACAGTGGAAGCTGGGGATATCCAAGTGTCTCTGGAATAGTCCTTAAGTGGCTCAGTTCCTTCTGCACCCTCTTCCTGTATAGATACCCCAGGGGATACAATGGCTTCTTTATTTCAAGTATGCTCTGCTGAAAACTGCTCTGTCTCTCAAGTGGCATGATAAAAATGATTTCTTCCTGCGTGATTTCTACCTAGGTGGTACGTGGAAAAGGAAGCATATTTATACCATAAATTCTAGTATTGTAGATTTGGTGAGATAGTTCAGCTACAACAAATAAAAGCCTTTATATTCCCATGTAGCAGGGATACAGATTGTTCTGTCAGTACATTTTAATGGGGAGGGTGTGAACGCTCTCCATTTGACTATTAAAGGATAAACACTAATTTGGATTTCATTACTGAACAATAACCTGATATTTAAAAACTCCTAATTCCGTGAACTTGTCCGTACTCAAATATACACATAATTTATATGTTTTGTATTTAATTAAGCTGTGTAAAGCCTACTTTTAAACAGAGGTAATGGAATTCCCTTCGTAAAACAGATATGAATTGAAAACAAACAACGCTGATAATAATGTAGAGAAACGAGCTTCTACTGATGAGTCCGACTTGAGTCATAACACAACACTGTATGACTCTATAGCTATAGCCTAAAATTGTTCATACACTTTCCTCTTTATTAAAAAGGTCAACATTTTCAAAAAAGGGCAAAAGTCTCTATTTACAAAGGATTTTTTAAAATTCACTCATTTTTTTTCTTCCAGGAAAGCCGAGAAAAATAAATATCATTCTTGTGATATGGGTTAAGATAACTCCACCTAATAAAGTCATGTGGTTGGTATGCAGAAGGAAGATAATGAATATTTGTTGAATAAATGAAAAGACCAATTTGGTTAGAAACATTCCAGTTCCTTTGGCCACTCAGACATTTATGACAGACAGACTAAAGGAGCAATTAGGCAGGTAGCTGTTCACTAAACCCCCATTCTTCTCCTCCTCCATTTCCTGTCTACACAGCTAGACTCCATTGCCCAGAATCACTGCCAGTTAGTGCTCAAAAACAGAATAAGAGAAGGGATGCATTTCTACCACAGTTCAGGCTGACATGTCTTATTCCTACTTCTCCATGCTTTCCTCAGTTTGCTGGCTTGATGTAGACAAGCAGAAATATAAGGTGGATGGTAGAGTATGGTCTAAAAGCACTGATTATTATAGAACCACCTGCCAATCAAGAAACATGCATCCTATTCCTTATATGAGTGAGTGCAAAACTTCCATTTACGTGTGCTATTATACATTTAGGGGTTTGTTTGCTATGGTAGCTATATGTAGGCAGCAGACCAGTCAAAAGAAACAAGGATTCCATCTGTATTGGAAGTTCACAGAGAAGACGGCATCTATCAATGTGAGAGGTTCCAAAGACATTTAGGTAATATCTCAAGTGAGTCTTTTCAGGTGAAATGAAGAAAAGGGAAATGTTTGAGAAAGCAACAGAAAAATCAGATTGAACAAAACACAGTAATGTATATTCTTCTTTTCCAGGGGAAGCAGGCACAAATACAGCATAAAAGAAAGGCATTGTAATGTTGGATTTAAGATCGCATAGTAAAGTTTAAGCTTTTTCAGAAATTATCAGCTCAAAAATAAGGAGGGTAAGAAACAGAAATGCAATTGCACATCCTAGGGAAAATCTGTAATTTCAAATCAAAACTATATGATAAAGGACTTCCAAATGCTGTAAATAACAGAGAGGAATGAGGAAGATGCCAAGAGGGTAGGTAGAGAATAGACATTGAATTGCAAGAGGCCCTACAACTGCTGTTCACTATAGTCTTGGAAAAAGTAAAGGGACACACACCACACACACACACACACACACACACACACACACACACACACCATGCACACATCACTTCATAGGACCCTCATAATAATCCAAGGACAATTCTAGATAGCTTAGAATACTATTGCTCTGATTGCCCTGTGGTACAAATCTGCAAATATAGTTGGTCTGAAATAAATGCATTTCACTCACAGATGATAAATAATAATAATAAAGTGAAGAAGAAAATAAGGGAGGAAGAAAGGGGCAAAAGGAAGAGTAGAAGGAGGAAGAGGACAAAGATGATGGAGAAGAAGAAAAAGGTGGAGAAGAGGAGGAAGGAAAAGAGAAAAAAAAAAGAGCAAAGAGAGGGGTAGGAAGTATTATACCATCACCAGCAGATGCAGGAATAAAGAACTTCAGAAAAACAATAGATGGGGTACACTTGTCAGGAAAATAGTGCCACTATTAACAGAAGGAAGCTCCTGAAATTATCAAGAACAAGAGCTCAGGGGAATGGGACCTAGCAGAGCACAAGGAAGACACTGAAAAGAAAACCAGAACCATCACATTAAAGCAGATTGTGCTGGAAGCATCTCAGAGAACTGAATCAATAAAAATAAAAATACCAATGAAGGCACTATAAACAAAAAGAGAAACAATAAAACAATCAGATAATTTCACAGAGAAAAAAGGAAAAAACTCACCAACACGTGCAATAAATAAAAATGGGAAAACTACCATAGACACAGATTAAATTAAAAGAATTGTAAGAGATGTTTGCAAAATATAAAATTATATAGCGATAGAACCAAAATGAGCATCACAGTTTTTACGACATGATGGATTTACCAATGAGATGACCTTATACTTCTTTGAAGTCAATATTTCATCAAAAAATACCCTGATGCAGCAGATTGGATTTTGTAAATTATGGTTATAAAACTGAAGATATAACTTACTCTCTTAGTAAACCATGGAACCATCAGCATTGAGACTATCCCTTTATTTTAAAATACAACCCAACTTTTAAATGTAATTTTTAAAAAGAACTGTCCAATTTAAAGTCTATAGTTAAGAGCTGAGGCAACATTTCTCCTACATGCGTTACTATAGCTTATGGCATCTAGATTAAAATATTGAGTCAATAAAAATAATTTACTGAATTGTAATTACTAAAAAATAGTAATTACCAAAAAATACTTCCAGTCCAATGAGGTAACAGTCCCTTCCTAACAGGAAAAAAATTCAATATTGTTATTTTCATATTGCCTCCAGCATGTTTTTATTCAAGCATATGTATGTGCAAACAAGTTTTTCTTTATGAGGAAAAAAAATTGTTCATATGTTTAAGTAATTCATTTTTACTTTCTTATAATTAGAAAAAGAATCACTTTAATACTGCAAACTTATATGAGTTATCTATTATCTACCCTTCAGCCATGGACCAATTACTCATAGCCATAGGGGATGTGATATGGTTTGGCTGTGTTCCCACCCAAATTTTATCTTAAATTGTAGCTCCCATAATTCCCATGTGTTGTGGGAGGAACCAGGTGGGAGATACTTGAATAATGGGGGCAGTTTCCCACATTCTGTTTTCTTGATAGTGAATAAGTCTCATGAGAGTTGATGGTTTTACAAGGGGAAACCCCTTTAACTTGGTTCTCACTCTCTCTGTTTCCTGGCCCCCATGTAAGACATCCCTTCGTTCTTTCAACTTCCGCCACAGTGTGAGGTCTCCCCATTTGGAACTATGAGTCGATTAAATCTCTTTCCTTTATAAATTACCCAGTCTTGGGTATTCTTTATCACCAGTTTGAAAATGGATTAATAAAATAAATTGGTATTGGTAGAGTGGGGTGCTGCTGTAAAGATACCTGAAAATGTGGAAGCGACCTTGGAACTAGGTAAGAGGAAGAGATTGGAACAGTCTGGAGAGGTCAGAAGAAGATAAGAAAATGTGGGAAAGTTTAGAACTTCCTAGAGACTTATTGAATGGCTTTGAACAAAATGCTGATAATATAGACAATGGAATCCAGGCTGAGGTGGTCTCAGATGGAGATGAGGAACTCATTGGGAACTGGAATAAAGATGATTCTTGCTGCATTTTAGCAAAGAGACTGGCAGCATTTTGCCCCTGCCCTAGAGATTTGTGGAACTTTGAACTTGAGGGAAATGACTTAGGGTATCTGTCAGAAATAATTTCTAAGCAGCAAAACATTCAAGAGGTGACTTGGGTGCCGTTGAAAACATTCAGTTTTAAAAGTGAAACAGTGCATAAAAGTTCAGGAAATTTGCAGCCTGGTAATGCAACAGAAAAGAAAAACCCATTTTCTGGGGAGAAATTCAAGCCTGATGCACAAATTTGCAGAATTAACAAGGAGCCAAGACAATGGGGAAAATGTCTCCAGAGCATGTCAGAGACCTTTCCAGCAGCCCCTCACATCACAGACCCAGAGGCCTAGGAGGAAAAAATGGTTCTGTGGGCCCAGTCCAGGGCCTCCCTGCTGTGTGCAGCCTAGGGATTTGGTGCCCTGCCTCTCAGATGCCCTAGTTATGGCTAAAAGGACCTAGGTACAGCTCAGGCCATGGTTTCAGGAAGTGCAGGCCCCAAGCCTTGACAGATTCCATGTGTTTTTGAGCCTGCAGGTACACAGAAGTCAAGAATTAAGGTTTGGTAATCTCAGCCTATATTTCAGAGGATGTATGAAACCACCTGGATCCCTAGGCAGAAATTTGCTGTAGGGACAGGACCCTCATGCAGAGCCTCCACTAGGGTAGTGCAGAAAGGATATGTGGGGTTGAAGCCCTCAAACAAAGTCCTTACTGGGGCACTGCCTAGTGGAGCTGTGAGAAGAGGGCCATGATTCTCCAGACCCCCGAATGGTAGATCCACTGATAGCTTGCACCTTGTGCCTGGAAAAGCAGCAGAAACTCATTGCCAGCCCATGAAAGCAGTCAGGAGGGAGGCTGTACCCTGCAAAGCCACAGAGGCAGAACTGCCCAAGACCATGGGAACCCACCTCTTGCATCAGTGTGACCTGGATGTGAGACCTGCAGACAAAGTAGATCATTTTGGAGCTTTAAGATTTGATTGTCCTGCTGGATTTGGAACTTGCATGGGCCCTGTAACCCCTTTGTTTTGGCCAATTTCTTCCATTTGAAATGGCTGTATTTTCTCAATACTTGTATCCCCATTGTATCTAGTAAGATACTAACTTGTTTTTGATTTTACAGACTCATAGGCAGAAGGGACTTGCCTTTTCTTAGATGAGACTTTGGACTGTGGAGTTTTGAGTTAATGTAAAAATGAGTTAAGGCTTTGGGGGACTGTTGGGAAGGCACGATTGGTTTTGAAACGTGAGAACATGATATTTGGGAGGGGGTAGGGTGGAATAATATGGTTTGGCTGTGTCTATACCCAAATATCATCTTAAATTACAGCTCTCATAATTCCCATATGTTGTAGGAGGAACCCAATGAGAGATGACTGAATCCTGGGGGACATTTCCCCCATACTGTTCTCGTGGTAGTGAATAAGTCTCATGAGATTTGATGGTTTCATAATGGGAAAACCCCTTTTACTTGGTTCTCATACTCTCTCTTTGCTGGCTGCCATGTAAGATGTCCCTTTATTCTTCTGCCATGATTGTGAGGCCTCCCCAGTCGTGTGGAACTGTGAGTCAATTAAACCTCTTTCCTTTACAAATTACCCAGTGTTGGGTATGTCTTTATTAACATCACGAGAACAGACTAATACAGTGATATTACAAAAGTATTATTAAATAAAGCACATGATAAGCAGAGTGGAGATTTGGAGAACATCCTCTTACTACTATTAGAAAAACAGCCTTTGGAAAAATAGTTCAAAAGAAACCCTTGATGACGGATGAAACTGCAGAGTCATCTGTGGAGTTCTAGTTCCCCCCACACCATGGAGTTCCCTTTGAGAACTACTCTGGGAGGCTGAGCAATGACTTGGCAAAGAGAAATAACCATACACTAAATAGGGTACCTGTTGACATACACATATAAAAGCCGGGGGGGGGGGAGCAGGTATGGCGGCGTGTGTGTGTGTGCATGTGTGCATGTGCACCTTAGACAGAGTGAAGGAAATGCCTTCTGTTTCATAACAAAGGGTTTTAAGAAAACATCTGGCCCAACCTTATCCTAAATCCCTCCGTTCCCCTGACCCCCGCCCCCAATCATAGATAAGACTGTAGGGAATTAGAAAAGCAATTTGATTAGACTCAGGCCATAAATCAGTTGAAATAAAAAACTCCAATAAAGGATCTTCTCACATTTGTTTAACATGCTATTAACTGTAGCCCTACTTTATTACTGGAGAGTATGCACAGCTTCAGAAGGAAAACACATACACATATGTACACACACAGGTGCCTTCTACAGTTTCTCCATTCAAACTCAAAATATAAGAGTAAGAATAACCACAAGAGTAATTCTCTTTTAGAAATCTAAATAAACAGCAAATGAGCCCATCTCTTGTTAGTTTGCGGCATGAAGTTGTGACTCGTGTCATTAAGTGGTATTTCATGGAATCAGAGGTCTCTGAATCCATGCTGTTGACCTCTTTTCTTGAATTAGCAAGAATTAACTGAATTAGCTGTATTAACTTGAATTAATTATAATTTAGGTCCCCAAATCTATGTATCATGCCTTCAATCTCAGGCCCAAATGTCTGGAGGCAGATGTTTGAATGGCAGCACTTCTAGAGATAAGGTTAGCGTGCATGCCTGAATTTGAGAAGACTTTGGTCTTGGTGCTATGCATTTATTTCCTTTCTATTTCTTTAGTTCTATGCATTTTTAAAATTTGCTTTTAAAGAATTTATAATAATTGAAGAACCTGCCGATTCTTATAGACAACACAACTCTGGAACTTAGGATGCAGCGAAGTTTAAATATAATTGGTATAGTAGTTTCTAGTGGTTTCCTGACCCCAAATTGCCATATCTGGTTTTGAATTTTGCATCATGGACTTGTCCACTAGAAAGAAACAACCCAACCAATTATAATAGAGACATGAGTTCAAGTTACCATCTTAATCCTGGCCGGGCACAGTGGCTCATGCCTATAATCCCAGCATTTTGGGAGGCCGAGGCAGGTGGATAACTTGAGGTCAGGAGTTTGAGAGCAGCCTGGCCAACATGCTGAAACCCCATCTCTACTAAAAATACAAAAATTAGCCAGGCGTGGTGGTAGGCACCTGTAATCCCAGCTACTTGGGAGGCTGAGACAGGAGAATCACTCGAACCCAGGAGGCAGGCGTTGCAGTGAGCCAAGATCACACCACTGCACTCCAGCCTGAGCAACAAAGAGTGAAACTCTAACTAAAAAAAAAAAAAAAAAAAAAAAAAATCTTAATCCTACAGGGTGATGCCAAAGTAACTGCCATTTTATCAAGTCACTAGAAAAAAAAAAGTAAAAGAACCCCTCTAATGACATTTTGACAAAAGACTGCCACAAGGAAACATTTTTTTTTCCCAAACAGAAAAGCATAGGATAGAAATACCATAATATCCTGAAAATCAGTATTTAGGCAAGATTGACACATCACATAACCAAGAAGCAAAACAATCTGTGGAGCCACCCCCCCCCAAATTACTGTAATCTCAATAGTCCTTATCCTAGCATTGCTAAGATATAAAATTCATAAAATATCCAGTGATGACAGCCCTGATGGACAGACAGCAACAAAGTACCTGTCTGAAGAACTCCTCCAGAAGTGACATTGTCCAGCGATGATGGAGGTCCCACGCTTTTGCTGGATGGCTAATATCTGCTGTATGCAGCATGAGGGATAAGGCTTTCGGCTTTTCAATGCTGTAAACCAAAAGCACCCAAACACATGATGATGACACTCCTCAAAACCTCAATAAGAGTTTTTTTTTTTTTAGTTATTAGTTTTTAAATGTATTTCATTCTTCCATCTCAAACCCCACTTCCGCTAAAGTGAGGAAAAGGCATCACTTCCTCCTACAATTGGGATACTCATTAAATTGGTATCTATATTTACTGAATTGGACTCTGTGAACTCCAATCCATTTCTAGAATGACTGCATCCTTCAAAAGGACAACAAGAATCCAAGAGTCACTGACTTTTATTTGTTGCTTCTGTTTTGGGGATCTCTGTGGGGACAACTGATACTGCCTCTATTATTTCTTTCAACTCTGATGAGAACATACCTCATTAGGGTAGGTAAAACTTTTTTGCTTTCTCCTTCAAACATCACCATCGTATGAGAACACTCAATAAAGTTGTGTTAAAGGAGATGCTCTTTAAAGGGATTACCGCATGGACAAGGACCCATTCAAACACCTATACAAACACAAGCACAAGCCACAAGCACACTTACGCTTCTGGCTGCTGCAGAGCAGTCTTCATTGCTTTGATTTGTTGGAAGTGACAAGACATATCCGTGGCCATCACCATCTCAATTACCAAGGTTCGAAACTCCCTATTGGAGACAACCATGGAGAAAAAAGGATGGAAGTCAAAGTGGAAAGTAAAAATCCGTTAATGTTTTGGCTAATCAAAATCAGTTAACTATTTTTGACATTTCTAATCTAATTTAGGTCTTTAAGGTGGGCTTTTAAAATAAGGAATAAATAAAAGTTAAGGATTAAGGAAATAATTAGGAATATGATACATGGAATATACACATTGTTTGGAAAATTAACTCACAGGAAAAAATTCAATGAAACTGAAAAGTATATTAATATGCTCTTTTCTCTAAATGAATTCAGAGGTTTTAGAAAGAATTAACTTGAAAATAATCCTAGGAGATAGATTGATCATCTATATCACATTGGATATAGGTATTCCATTTTTTCAAATCCCAAATACCTTGATTTTTTAGTAGAGTTTTAGGTAGACAGAAAAATTGAGTTCCCATATAACCTCTCTTCCTGCACAGTTTTCTTAAAGTGTTGTGTTAATGTGGTACATTTGTTACAATTAGTGAACCAATATTGATACATTATGTTAACTATAGTCCATAGTTTACATTAAGGTTTATTGGGCATGTTGCACAGTTCTACCAGTTTTGACAAATGCGTAGTACCATGTATCCGCCATTACAGTATCCACACAGAATAGATTCAGCACCCTAAAATCCCTGTGCTCCTTTCATTCACCCCTCTCTCTTTTCACTCGACCACTGCCAATCACTGCTATTTTTACTGTCTCTAACAACTTTTTTGAGCTATAATTTACATACACTAAATTGCTTACAATTTGTATAAATTGCAGAATTTAATGAGTTTAACAGTTGAATAAGTTTTTGAATATACCACTGTAATCACGATACCAAATATTTCCATCACCCTCAACTTAGCCCCAGGCAAAGTTTGATCTGGCTTATGTCTATCTAGAATAGTTTGAACTTTCTAGCTTTATATATATGTATATAAAGCATATACATATATATTTAATATATATTTCAAATATTTGATATATATTTCAATATCTTTATATATAATATATACACATATTTATATACACACTTCATACATATATACACATTTATCATATATACACATGTAGACATACATATATACATATGTATGTATTATATATTTAAAATGTGTATTTACATGTCAACATGTATGTACATGATAAATACATGTATGTACATGATATATACACATATTTTAAAATATAGATAATACATATACACATATATACATATTATACAGTAACACAGATACTAGATATATATACATGTATTTCTATGTATATATATATAGACACACACATATATACATATAGTACAAAATGTACACTTCCTTTACTCAGCATAATGATTTACAATTCACCTATATAGTAGTTCATCAATAGTTCATTTTTTCTTATTACTGAGTGGTATTCTATCATATCAGCATACCACAATTTGTTATCCATTTACCAGCTAAGGGACATTGGAGTTATTAGATTCTAGTTTGGGGCTATTGTGCTATTGTGAATAAAGCTACTATGGGTATTCATACATAAATCTTTGTGTAGACACATATGCTTTTATTTCTCTGGGGCAAAAACCTAGAAGTAGAATGGCTGGTTTATAAGATAGCTGAATGTTTATCTTTATAAAAAACTGCCAGCTGGGCGTGGTGGCTCACACTTGTAATCTCAACACTTTGGGAGGCTGAGGCGGGCGGATCACCTGAGGTCAGGAGTACGAGATCAGCCTGACCAATATGGTGAAACTCCATCTCTACTAAAAATACAAAAATAATCCAGTTGTGGTGGTGTACACGTGTAGTCTCAGCTACTCTAGAGGCTGAGACAGGATAATTGCTTGAACCCTAGAGGCGGAGGTGGCAATGAAGTGAGATTGTGCCACTGCATTCCAGCCTGGGTGACATAGTGAGACTCCATCGAAAGAAGGAAGAGAGAAAGAGAGAGAGACAGAGAGAGAGGGGGGGGGGGAGGGAAGGAAGGAGGGGGGGGGTGGGGGGGGGGGGAGAGAGGGAGAGAGAGAGAGACAGAAATTGTCAAATATTTTTCAAAGTGGTTTCACTTTACATTTGATCACTAGTGTATAACATTTTCAGTTTTTCTTTGCCTATTCTAATCAGTCTTCAATTTCAGCCATTCTTCTTACGGATATGTAGTGGTATCTCTTGTGGTTTTAATTTACATTTCTTTGATGACCAATTATGTCAGGCACATTTTCATGTACTTATATTCCATTTGTATTTATTTTTCAGGGAAATGTGTTTCAAACCTTGCTCATTTTAAAATTGAATTATTTTCTTATTATTGTTATAAAAGTACCTTACACATTTTGGATTCAAACCTATGTAAAATATATGTGTTGTGAATAATTTCTCCAATTTCTTGTCTTGCTTTTTTTTTTTTTTTAACAGTGTCTTCCAAAGAGCAAAAGGTTTTAATTTTTATGAAGTTCAATTTATCACTTTAAAAACTGCTTCAAGCTTTTTCTGTCTTGTCTGAGAAACCTCCACCTACTTCCAAGGATTTTGCTGTTTTTCTCTACAAGTCTTGCCATTTTAGCTTTTACATTTAGGTCTATAACCAATTTTGAGTTATTTTTTGAGGATGGTATACAGTAAGGGTCAAAGTTATTTTTCCCCATTGTTTCAAAACCATTTATTGAAAATATTTTCTTTTCCCCATTGAATTAATTTGGCACCTTTGTCACAAATCAATTGATGAGTCAATTTCAAAACTCTCAATTCGGTCCCATAGATATGTATGTCCTTCTTATACCAATGAAATGCCTTGAATACTGTAACTTAAGCATGCTTTGAAATCAAGACATACGAGTCCTCTAACCTTGTTCTTCATTTAAAAAGTATTTTATTTGCATTTCTATATAAAGTCTATAATAATCGTGGCAATTTCCAACATAATTCTGCTAGAATTTTGATCGAAATTGTATTAACACAATAAATAAAGTTTGGAAGATTTGACATCTTTACAATATCAAGTGTTCCACTACATGATGACAGTATATCTCTCAATGTATTTAGGTCCTCTATAATCAGCAATATTATGTTATCTGCAGTGAACATGAGTTGCATTTGTTTTTGAAAGCTACTACTATTTTATATGTTTTATGCTATTCTAAAAAATTATTTCATTTTCCAATGGTTTGTTGGTAATCTCTCTCTCCTCTTCTGCCCCCCCCATATATATATGTGCACATAAGTATATGCATATATATAATGTTTTTTACATTAACCTTGTATTCTGTGACCTTGTAAAATTCATTATCATTTCTAATAGCTCCTTTACAGATCCTTAGGATTTTCTACTTAGACAATCATGTCATTTGCTATTAACATCTTAACAATGTTGATGAAAGTAAAATCAAGCATCCTTGTCTTGCTCCCAGTCTCAGGAAAAAGGCATTCAATATTTCATCATTAAGCTCGATGTTAGTTATAGATTTTTCACACATGCCCTTTATCTAGTTGAGGACAATCCCTTCTGTTTCTGGCTTGCCTAGAGTTTTTATCATGCATGAGTGTTGAATTTTGTCAAATACTTGTTATACATCTATTAAAAGGACGTATGATTTTGTTTGTTTTTAAATATGGTGAATTCTTTTAATTAATTTTGAATGCTAAATTAATCTTGCATTCTTGTGATAAGCCCAATGTATGAGTCCGGATTATCAAGAGAAACCAACAGGATATATACATATACAGAAAGAGATTTATTGTAAGGAAGTGGCTCACAACCTTGTTACGAAGGTTGACAAGTCCCAAGATCTGCAGGGTAAATCAGCAAGCTGGTGATCTAGGACATTCAAAGTTGTACTTCCAACTTGAAGGCTGACAGCTAATAGGCAGAAATAATTCTCTCTTACTTGGGAGGGGGTCAGCCTTTTTGTTCTAGTTAGGCCTTCAACTGGTTGAATGAGGTCCGCTTATGTTAGGAAGGGCAATCTGCTTTACTAAGTCTACCCTCTTATATGTTAATCTTATCCAAAAATGCCCTCACAGAAACAACAGAATAATGTTTCACTAAATATCTGGGCACACTGAGGCCCAGGTGAGTTGACACATAAAATTAGCTATCACAAATGATATATAATCTTTTTAGTATATTGTTATATTCAGTTAATATTTTACTGAGAATTGTTATAACTATGTTCATAAAATATATTAGTCTTTAATATTCCTTTTTATGAATTTTTTTTGCCAGAATATGGTATCAAAATTATGTTTTATAAAATAAATTACATAGCATTTCTGCCTTCTCTAAATAAATTTGCATAAGATTAGTATTATCTCTTCTTTGCATATTTGATAGAGTTCACCAGTTAAACTATCCAAGGCTGTATATTTCTTTGTGGGAATGTTTTTGATGACAAAGTCAATTTTTTAACAGACATAGGATTGGTCAGACTTTCTATTTCATCTTATGTGAATTTTAAGTTGTATTTTGCAAGGAATTTATTCACTTCGTCAAAGTTGTCAAATTTGTTGAGATAAAGTTGTTTGTAAGATTTTCTTATGTATTTCATATAAATAGAATCTAATATTGGTACTTGTGGTCTCTCTCTTTTTTATTTTTTATTTTTTATTGGTACTTGTGGTCTCTCTCTTTTTTATTCACCAGTCTAGGTAGAAGGTTGTTTCAAAGAACCAGCTTTAGCTTTCTTAATTTTTTCTTTTTTTTAGTCCCTATTTTATTGATTTTCCTCTTATCATTATTAATCTCTTCTTTCTATCTACTCTGAATTTACATTGCTCTTTTTTTCCAACTTCCTGAAGTCATTGTGTTTGGCACTTTCTTCTTTCCTACTATGAACATTTATAGCTGTAAATTTCCTCTAGGCACTGTTTTAACAGTATTGCACACATTTAACATATTGTATTTTCACTCTTGATAAATTTGAAATGTTTCCTGGTTTCCTTTGATTACTTTTTGATCACAAATTATTTAGAAGAGTGTTGGTTAATTTTCAAATATATGAGGTTTTCA